ATCGCAGCCTTTCACCCATTTCTTATCACAATGAATATCCTTCGCAACTCTCTTGCACCCTTATCGAATGAATTCACATTACATTCATCACCTCGCCAAACTCACTTTGCTGCGTGGATCCTGTATTATCATCATGTGACCTGCAGGAATAGTCTTTGTCTTTGACGTTTAAGTACTGACTATACTTTACCTTTGATACCATTCACCTCGCTGGACGAGAATTCTTGCTGTGTCTGTCATAGCCCTGCATTGCTCAGTCCTTGTCACATCAGGAAAAACCCCAAATGCAAATTTCAGGTAATTACCTTGCAGTTACTTCTAATCCCCATAACTGGGAGATAATACACCTAACTACCAACTAATTAAAGATAATCGTGATAAAATTTGCAAACTACTCATAATTTGTTGTGTATTACAGCATTCTCAAAGGTCATGCCATATAACTTTGTAAATTTTTATTGTGGTTACACAGAGGGGACCAATATTATTACAAAGGAATCTGTCTGAGACTCAAGAGAGGATTACAGGTATAAAGTGTGGACAATTTAAGTATACAACAAACACTTTTGCAAAAAAGGCCTCATCGGAGATTGGCCGTACTTCCCATGTGAAGATACCTGCAAGAATTGATGGTCTTGCATGGTTCTGCCACTGCCGCTGTTGGACTCAGATGTACTGCCATACCTGTGCCATGGTACCCTTGTGTTGCCTTCGTCGTCCAAAAAGATAGGGGGTGGGTTGGTGAGCAGCTTCGGCAATTTTGCGGTCAAATTCTTGGGTGCCACAACGTCAGATGGCATTGGTGAAGAGGGCGATGAGTGTGACGACGCCAACAGCAGAGAATGTGCTTGCGACGGCTGCTGCATTGTGAACAGGTCAGGACCAAAGCAGGTTAGTGAAGATGACAAAGAGGCTGTCAAGACAATGACAAGTGGGACTGTTACGATTGTAGCTCCTGATCCTTGGAACATGGTAAGCTGCAAAAAAACGCGAAAAGAAAGGATCAAAAGTATATAGAAAAGATGGGATGGGGAGGGGACAGGATGATAATATGCTGCTCACCCAGCATTAGTTGATGCAGCGCTCAAGCTCGTCGGAGCACCACTAGCAGCCAACACCATAAGGAACAAGGTAAGCATAGCTACACCCCACTGGTCTGTCGTAACCCTCATATTCGTCGGGGGTAGGCTTGTTCACTACCGATGTTTGCTCGGATCCTAAATGGAGGTCTGCGTGCAAGAAAGGAGGGCATGTGAAGAGGTGATGGAAGAAGTGTTGTCGATGTTCAAGTGCTTGGGCAGCATACATTGAGCAGGGCACAGCATGGTGTGTGCAGAGTAATGAAAATTATTCCCAAGTCCGTTGAAACTCCGACGGCACATGATCATGTTGGATTCTATTCCCTCCCACTGCTCTTTCTTCCCACCACATCGTCTGCGTGCTTTTGTCACCCCTCATTCTCATTCGCCATACTCCCACTCAAATTCTCATTGTGTTACTGGCTTTTCTCTTCCAACTCATTGTGTTACTGGCTTTTCTCTTCCAACTCATGCTCGTGACCTGGCCTACAAATTCCAACAGTGAGCAGCCACCTTTCATTACTACCAACCTCTCAACCGCTCCCCTATGGCAGACAGGTCTGTGTGATGTTCCTGCCCTACACAACCTGTATGCCAACTCTAACAGGTAAGTACCCTTTCCGACGAGGCAACAACAATGTGGACGATCCTGATCGACAACGACCACATGACGATGACCGCTCGATGACGACAGGTAACGACTGCGTGATGACTGCCCCACGACAATGGCACGCCGACCACATGCAACCACGACCACATGCAGCAACATGTGGTGACACAACGTTGGCCAGGATTCACCACCACCCCCATCAACACCAAGGATGGTTCAGCACCCCGTCCCAACACCGACGACAGCTCACCACATAAACAGTAAACACAGCCTCACCACCAGCACCCACGACAGCCCACCACCCCACGCTGTCAGGAGCCCATGACCACTGCTCACAAACACCGACGACAGCCGGACACCACACCAAACACAGTACCCTACCCAGAGTGACAACTGCCCAACAACACACACACCCTCCTCCCCCAACTTGCGAACGTCGACACAGATACCTTCTACCCAACACAATCCCCTTCTATCTCACTGTAGCTATCAATTACCATCATGTAGATATTTCTGCTGTAGCCTTTCTTCAATCAATTCAATGTTACTGTTTGGCTCATTGTGTCAATCTTGAAAGAATTCTCAGCACCCAAAAGATTGAGAAAATGCTACTCTAATTGGACTAATTAGCATATAACCGCAATGTAACTTCACACCAGATGCAGATAATCTCTACTCAGCCATTGGTAACTTCAAGGTAATTTGAGGTAAGAGTTAGGAACCATATTCATACAGGGTAATTTGAGATAATTTGGTAAGAGCATTAATTTCATCTAATCCATTGAATTTTGAAGTTATTTCACCTAATCTTTCAGTTATTAGGGCAGATGAGGAGTTGGGGTTTTTCCTGATGCATCTACCAGTTGCCATGTCCCACAGGCGAGAAACTTTGCCAACAACTCCTAGCCCAGGTCGCAGGACTCGGTCGTTGACTCAGGCTGAACATGAACGTGCCACTCAATCTGTAGAAGCACGGCCTGTTGCCTCTCGAGCTCGAACAAACATGCAATCTGCTCCCTTGACACCTCCTCGGACGGTCCACCAGTATAGCACTGCCCACAATCACTTGCGATTGAGAGCATTAGCAACACCCATACCTTCCTCCAATTTGCCCCCATCTACACCTGAACCTTCAGAGGCTTTGCCAACAAATATTAGCCCAGGCTGCAGGATTCGACTGTGGTTGGCTTGGGTTGGATATGAAAGTGCCACTCGATCCTCAGAAGCAGGGTCTGAACAAGCATCTGCCTCCCGAGTTACAACAAATGCGCATTGTGTTCCCCTGACACCTCCTCGTACAGTCCGCCAGTACAGTGCGGCGCATAATCGCTTGCGACTGGGAGCATTAGCTTTACCCGACTCGTCCTCTGACTTTCCGCCATCTGTGTCTGAATCTTCATTAGCTTCACCCGCCCCTTCCTCTGACTCTGTGCCATCTATGTCCGAATTTCTTCAGTTGACCGGTGTTTTCTCCTCTCCAACCAACATTCCTGCTCAAGCCGCCCCACAAGAAAGTGATCATCAGAAACTACAGCGGGTGAGTACGCTTTATGAATTTCATCGCTTTAATTGATCAAGTGTTGTAGGTTAGCGAGGCTTTCAAGTCCGCAGCTGAGTGTCCAATTTGCACAGGGATCATGGCGAACCCATTTGTGTCAGTATGACATGCCAACTTTCCAATTTCCCCTATTGAGACAAATTTTCCTAGATTACGCTGCCTCCACACTTTTTGTGGCCATTGCATCTGCAGAACGTTTGCCGATCAGGTACAGCCACGTCTTCAGTGTACTGCTGGGTCTCTTTTATCCCACAAAGAACACAAGTATGATTGCCATGCCGTTCCGACGAGCCTGAAGCATCTTCAGGAGACAGTGACTGCCATTCGGTGTCATGGTCAAAGGAAGCCAGAGGACATATTCCTATATGAATGCCCACTCTGCAGGGGCCAAATCCGTGAACAACCTACTCTCAGCCCTTACAAGGCGAGGGCCTTCCTTTCAGATGTTAGGGCTGCTCTCGGATTAGACTTTAGTGACAATGAGATCACCTGCAAGGAGGATGTGGATAGGGATGGCTTTTTCGATGGATTGTTCCTTCCTACTGGTATGTAACGTTGAACATAACATCTTTGCCAAGGTTCCTACTTATAGCAGTGGTATAAGCACAATGTGTATAACTGTAGTGTACATGCAAATATTCCTTTCATGAGCATAGATACCAGTTGAGGACAGTGTCATATTTCGAAGAAGAAAAAAAAGGAGGGGAAGAAAACTCGCAAACTGGGGGTTCAAACCTGTGGCCTCGAGGTTTCACAGGTGGGCTTGCTTGAACCTGCCACCAACACCACTTACCTTGCCAGCTCCCATCTTCATCCATCACACCCTCCTATGTTGGGATAAGACCGTAAGTAAGAGCTCAGGCGGTTACACGTATGGGTAAACGACTGTATAAGTCAATCTCTACCTGTTGGGATAAGACCGTAAGTAAGAGCTAAGGTAGAGATAAGTAAGTAATGTATCAGAAGAAATATAAGTAAAGGAATACACACCTCAGGCGGTTACACGTATGGGTAAACGACTGAGGTGCGAAGTACGGAAAGGAGCGAGAAAATTGTATATACAGAAGTAAAAGACGGTGTCAGTAAATAGGAGTAAAGAGAGAACGTAGGGTAGGTTTCTGAACCTCAACACTCCCCCTGAAACCGTAGCTCCTAAATATCGATGAATTCCATGCCCATAAGTTTGATGAGGTACTCCAACGTTGGTCGAGAGAGAGATTTTGTGAAGATGTCGGCAACGTTCTCGGATGTGTCGATTGGGACAACAATGATATCCTCGAGGTTAACGGCCTCACGAATCCAGTGGGTCTTGACATCGACATGTTTGATTTTGGTATGACCACCAGAGTTTTTAGAGAGAGCGACGGCAGTGTCGTTATCGCAGTAGACGGTGATGGGGAGGTCGAAATATTGATCAATTTCATAGAACCAAGCGCATACCCATTTAGCTTGTTTCCCAGCTTCGAAAACGCCCACATATTCGGCCTCTCCGGTAGAGGTACTGACGCGCCTCTGAGTTTTCGCTTTCCAGCTGACTGGGCCTCCAGAAGATATAAAGACGAACCCAGCGGATGATTTTCGACTATCGGATTCGTCGGCGTATGATGAATCAGAATATCCGAAGGGTTTTATAACCCCATCCTTCCGGTAGGTGATCACGAGGTTACTGGTTGTTTTGAGGTACGCAAGGAGGTGTTGAACGAGTTTCCAGTGCATTGGTCGAGGATCGGATGCATAACGCATTAGTACCATGACAGAGAATGCAATGTCAGGTCGAGTCCCATTGGCAATGTGGTTAAGCATTCCCAACGCGCTCCTATAGTCCTTATCGCGCATAAATTCAGAGTCGGGAGGAGGAATAGGTGTAGGCTGTGATTCAACGAGAGTGATGCCTGGAGGGAGGGGCGTATACTTTGGGTTAGCGTTCTCCATTCCGAAAGTAGCCAAGGCCTTCATGATGAGTGGCTTTTGATGGATAGATATGTCGCCAGAAGGGTGGTTGACGATCGACATGCCAAGGACTTTATTAGGTGTGCCTAGATCGGTGATTTCGAATTTTGCTGCAAGTTCTCGTTTTGCCCTTTCCATTGCGGCAACTGAGGAAGATCCTGCAGATACGTCGTCGGTGTAGGTTGACGAAATGGTGTATCCCTCGGTAGTATGTTGGATCCGTACACATGGGTCCGCTCGAGATTGGCGGTGACCGAGTTCAGTAAATGTTTTGTTGAGTAGACGAAACCAGTTATTGGCGCCGTCCATGGTTCCGTATATCGTAAAGTTCATGAGTAGAACAGTGTCGATGTTGGGGATTTTGTAGTGGTTTTCGAAACCCTGTGGAATTTCGA